ATTATAATTGACGAAATGTCAATGATATCTAATTTGACATTAAAAAATTATATAGAACTAAAACTTGATTAATACATACATGACAGCATTTTTATTATAATAAAATGTTCTTGTAAATTCTCTTTATACATATACGGCATAATGTTCTATTTAAGTTTATATAGTATTATAATAAATAAATTATAAACCTTCATTATAGAATATATTATATAAAAATGCTGTCATGTATTAAACAAGTTTTAGTTCGATATAGTTTTTGGTGCAGCCGCGCCAAGATTTTATGTATTAAATATTTTTGATTGCATTGTTATAATAATTAATTTGTTACAACAACAAGTAAAATAACCATATAACTCAGTTTTCTAATAAATAATGATAAATTTTACTTAAAAAATTTGTTATTTTATTAATAAACGTGTTAATTTTTGCCATGAAAAGAATACAAATATTTGTAGCACCTCTGGACCAGTGTTTTTTATTTGCGTATCATCAGCTTCAATCCGATCAGATTTACCTTCTCTACATATACTTGTGTAATGACCGCTTGCAATGCACGATCCATGATGAAATATAGCATTCATTATTTTATACAACTGTCCTGCTACTGATACTTTAGTTGTTGGGACAGCACGCAGAGTAAATTTGTTTATACATATATGTATACAGGGTATTAGAAAAGTCTAAAAACGGTCAAATATCTCGAAAATATAACGTTTTTGAAAAAATGTTTCCAACCAAAGTTGTAGGGTTTTAAAAGTTCTATTGAATGATGATATCCGTTTGACCTTGCGTAAAGGAATCAAGGCTAGGTCAAGGCCAACATAATTTTTTTAAATGCCCAATTTTTTATCACACAGTGTTAAAGTTGATAGCAAGACGTTTCCAAAACATTACTTGATGATCTATTTTTCTTAAGAATTGTCTGAGTTATGAGCTTTAGAATTTACGGTGTCGCCAATATTAGTATTATCCAGGATGTACCGCGTGGAGGTTGCATGATCGAAGTTTACACCCCCCCCCTGTGTATGTGTGTGTGTGTGCGTGTGTATGTGTCAGCAAAAATAAGGTTTGTCCCTCCGCGGTTCGTCATTACCGCAGTATTTAATGACTCCAAACCCTGTCTGCTATGTGTGTGTGTGCGCGCGCACGTGTGTATGTAGACGGGTTTTTATTTAATTAAGTGTTCAAATTGTCTTCCGTCTGCTGCTTGACAATAACCTTATCGTAGATGAAATTTATTTAAAACGTTTCGTCTCATTTCTGATGAAATAAGATTTACTTGGTGCAGTATGCATTCCCTAAGGTCTGCCAAGTTAGCAGGTTTCGTTCCGTACACATTGTTTTTAACATATCCCCATAAGAAGTAGTCCAATGGAGAAAGATCTGGTGATCTAGAGGGCCACTCTATTTCTCCACATCCTGTTATCCATCGGTTTGGGAAAGTATCAGTTAAAAATTGATGCACTACTACTGCATAGTCCTTATCTCTGCTGACATACATACACACACACACACAGGGTGGGTGTAAAGTCCGACCATGCAACCTCCACGCGATACATCCTGAATAATACTAATGCTGGCGGCACCGTAAATTCTAAAGCTCATAACTCAGACAATTCTCAACAAAAATAAGTCATCAAGTAGTGTTTTGGAAACGGCTCGTTGTCATCTTTAACACTGTGTGGTAAAAAATGGGATGTTCCATTTAAAAAAATCATGTTGGCATTGACCTCGCCTTGACTCCTCTACTCAAGGTCAACTAGATATGATCATTTAATAGAACTTTTAAAACCCTACAACTTTAGTTGGAAACATTTTTCTTAAAAATGTTTCGTTTTCGAGGTATTTGACTGTTTGAAGACTTTACTAACTAAAGTGATATGGTCCATTATCGATGGATTTATTAAAAAATTTTTCGAACGAAAGTTGCATGGCTTGAAGGACGACACATGATGGAAATGTGGACTTGACCTTGAGTGAAGTGACCTTGTCAAAATCAGGCCAAGGTCATTAATGTTTTTTTTAAATAGAAACTACGATTTTTTATTACATATTCTTGTAGCTTATCTCGAGAGCATTTCAAAACACTCTAACAAAGTTACATTTCATCGAGTACTTTCCGAGTTATGAGGCTTGGCAGTTAAGACAAGACCGATCACTGATCCGATCAATTAAGGCAAGGTCAATTCGAATATGTCTTTAGCCATTAATAAGTCTTGGCCTTAGAAGTACGAAACAAAACCTCCTTGCTTTTAATACAATATCCTGTAAGTTAACAAATATCCTTCACACATACAAACATAGTATTATTATATTTTTATTGAGTAGTGCACTGAACAACTATAACATTGTTCTGAGAGTTTTCTCATTTAGAGCGTCGAAACAAATATATTTTATGAATTTTCTTTCGCGCAGATAGAAAATTTCACGGATGTGTTGTTAGAGATTGTTTTTAGAGATTATTTAATACTGTATGAAAAATATTTATTAACTTACAGGATATTGTAATAAAAGCAAAGAGGTTTCATTTCGTACTTCTTGATTCTGTTACAATATTCTTTTATATTTCATACTACATCCTTGTATAACTTAAAATTATTCTTAAAATATTATTAAACAATTCAATAATAAAACCTGTGAACCGGCCCGACTCCGCAAAATAATTAATAAAATATATCTCATTTTCTTGGCGCCGAATATTATCAATACTATTACAAATAATATTACGAATGATATAAATTTTTACAAATAAAATTTGTAAAAATTTGTATTATTTGTAACCTTATTATACAATTACAAATAAAATTACAAATAATAATATTACAAATAATATATATTACAAATAATAATATTATTAATAATAAAATATTTATAATAATTTCGGTGCGCCGAGTAGACAAAACTTTTCAGTATTGTCATAGAGAGGAAAGGAGAGAGAGACAGTCGCGCCCGCGATTCAGATTATGGGTAAGAAAGAATTAGGCTCGCTCGCTGAGCGAGAACGAGAGCGATAAGGAGGGAATGATATTCTCTCTCTCCCTCTCGCTCGTTCGCTCGGCGCGTCGACAATTGCCGATCGCGTGGCTCACACCGATTGACCGAGCTGGCTGTGTGCGTATATTGGGGGGGGGAGGAGAATCCTCATGCAAGCCCATCACCAAATTCGCATCACTGATACCAATGATGTCAAAACCGAACAAGCTGCGGACAAGTAACTTGTAAATACCGGAGATCAATTGTTTATCAGCTCATAAACAATTAATATGACGAGATACCCGCGGAAACCCGTGTACTTCTCTTTCGTCTTTGCGTACAATTGCGATCAATAAAAAATTTTTACGAATTGTTCGGTTTTGACATCCGTGGTATACGTGTGTATATGTGTGTGTATGTGTACAATTGCGTACACGTACAATTGCGATATACACTTATCACGTTAGCATTGATCATTTTTATTCATGCTAAAAGAAATAAGTATGATTATGTAAAGAATTTGTCTGCGTATTATTATTCATTCTACATAGTTCTCCCTGTGATAGTAAATATAACACACTTGAACAACCTCTACGCTCATATCACAAAGCCTGATCCACTGCGCTACTGAAGCAAATTAGTAATTCTTCTGCTATACTGACATTAACAGAAAAGACTAAACTTCAAACTACATTTCTCAAAAACGTTTAAGATTTGCACCGTTTTTGGATAGCATTTGTTACTATTACATCAATATTATACTTTTCTAAAAGCAAAATCGCACGGTGATTTCAAGGGTGAAGATTCCTCTTGTGTGAGATATTAATTATTCATTCTTTATTAATGGGAAAAGATTTTCCTTTGGTTGAAATGTTCAAGAATAGTTATTTGTTCTCTGAGAATCTTCCAATTTTTATGTTCCTGAAAAGTTTATAAAATTCGTAAAGAAAGAAAATTATTTTACTACCTACCTGTTCAAGGGTTGCGCATAAGAGATATTTTAACAAATCTGAATCTGAATCAGTCAACAAATTAAATTTTTCATTCAAAGAAGCATGTGTAGGCTAAGCATAAGTAAGATAAGTATAAATAAATTAAATATTATTCTCTGAATATAATAATAAATAAATGTTTTTTTCTTTAGCTGAATCATCGAAGTAAATATTCTATTATAAATTGACTTTCCGGATTACAATATTAATTTGATTTTTCAGAGTACGCTTTCAAATTGACTCTTCGGAATACGCTGTTAAATTGACTTTTCGGAGTACACTTTTAAATTGACTCTTCTGACTACACATTTGTTAGTTGACTCTGTGGAGTATATATTTTTTAATTAACTCTTCGGAGAGAAGAGAAGAGAAACATTTTATATTTTATTTTAAAAATCGTAATTTTTGCAGAAAACTGATTGATGAAGAAAATGATTAATTCACGACCTCAACGAAGATCTTAAAAAAATTACTGCAAGAAATGAAGTTGTTGTTATTATATACCATATTGTACAATATTAAAACATACGTGCAATAATTATCTATAATTTGCATATATAGGCGTTTATGTAATTATAAGTAATATAAAAGTCATGACAAATTAATGTGGCCGCGCGTTATCTCTGTCGTGTCATTGCTAGAAATCATCCGAACTCTCGAAATTATTTTCTTCCCGAATTATGAATATAAAACAATGTGGAAAGAAGAACAAGGGGGTAAAAGGGGGGGACGGCGACGTCTGCCTTACGATAACATCGCTGCTGGCACGCTTCGTCGCGATTGTCTATTCGCTGGTGGTGAGACAAAGACCGATTCTTCGTTTTTATCTAACTAATCTAGCTCGCTCGTGAACATAGCACAGAACAGAACCAAATAATTATCGACATAGCACGGAATAGTACCGACAAATCATGGACATTGGCTTAGTAGTTCATGTCCATGAAAAATGGACCCAGTTGGCGCTTCGAATCAGCCAACTTTTCCCTAACGCTGTAAATGCAGCCATGCTCGCTCTCAGGCTTCTCTGATTGTAGAATGACCTTTAGTGAGAAACTGTATCTGAAAGTTGGTAAGTTTGTTACTGTATTCAAGCAATTGAGGGAGTTCTTTGGTCTGTTCTTTGTAGCCGTACTGTTGAACTGGTGCTATAAGTTAAATTGAGACAAATGTAGGTTTTCTCACTCTAGCTTATTGCACCAGTTCAGCAGTGCAGCTACAAAGAACAGACCACTTGTATTGATAGGTGAACTTGGTTAGTAGATCCTCATTTGTGTTATCGCTGTAATTCCTATTTGCGAGAAATCTTGCTGGAATCATGTTACCATTTGGTCTGTTCTTTTCAGCTGCACTATGGAACTAGTGCAATAAGTTAGAATGAAACAACTATATTTTTTCTCACTTTAACTTATTGCACCAGTTCAGTAGTGCAGCTAAAAAGAACAGACCAATTGAAAGTATGTTTCCGTAATGGATTATCCCCAAGTTTCAGGCATTTTATGAAAGTTTTTTTAACTAGGAATTTCCATCTGAAGGTAAGTGGCCATTCAGCAATTTGGTCGAGGAGAATGTTTGTTGAGGTGGTTGACATGCATCCGAGTATTATTCTAGCACACCTGAATTGTATACGTTGGAGAGAGATAAGTTTTGTTGAGGGCATATCTGCCAGGACTAACCCGCTGTTACGTCCTGGACAAGCATAGAACATGCAATGTCTAGATTTGTTTGGTTTACTTCGGATCAGCGCTATTCTTGTCCAAATCCTTATTATTTAAATCTGTTTCCTTTGGAGGTGGGTTACTGTTAGGTTTAAAAATAATAGTATTCTCGCTAGTGTTGAATTTAACTTCAAATATATTTCCCTTTATTCCAGATTTTATTCTCGGGACCGAAGATTTTGATGGATCTGTTTTGAAAACAGCCAGGTCGAGCGTGCCTGGATTATAATAACTTTTTAACAGACGTCTAAATTGAATCCGCCGTCCGGCTCTTCTTGTTCTTTTCGGCATGAAAGATTTTTAGGTAATATTTATTTTAACAATATCTATAATAGTGTAGATGGAAGAGACGTGGTTAAGTTTGAAGAATAAAAAGGCGAATGGTGCTCGTGGTTCAAGCACAACACTCTTAAAGTAAGGAAAAGAAGAACTGTGCTCGTGGTTCAAGCACTGCGTTCTGGGAAAAAGGGAGGAATGGTGCTTGTGGTTCAAGCACAATACTCTTAAGGTAAAGAAAAGAAGAACGGTGCTCGTGGTTCAAGCACGGCGTTCTGGAAAAAGAATGAAGATGATATGAGGAAAGAGAGGTAAAGAAATCTGTACACACACACACACATATATATATATATTATGAAATTACTCTATATTGTTAAGTTTAAAAATTCATACACTAAATTTAATGTAGTTAATAGCTGGCTCAAGGGTACCAACGGTAGTAGCAGCAGCGGCTCGTGCGTTGTTACCTTGGGCCCATTGCTCGAGCAGGTAAAAAGGGGACACGGTAGGCCCGTAGTTACCGGCAAGGGCGTGGGAATCAGGGAGAGGAAGATGGCGGAAGAAGAGGAGAAGAAGGAGGCGGAAAGAGCCAGGCTGGAAAAGGAGGTACAGGCCATTCTGGACGCTGGCATGTTCCGATCCATAGGAGACAGGCGCCCGATGGAAGAGGTGTTCCGGGACAGCGCCGCGAAAGAGCTTCTGAGAGAAGCCAAGGTGTGTAAGCTGGCCTCGGAGGTAGGTCGCGCCCTGGGCACGATTCGGCTGGTCTCACGGAGGTCTAACACCCTGAAAGGGACTTTCGTGGGAGCGCTGAATCGTGCCATGGGAATCTCCGAGGCCGTGCTCACCACCCTAATGGCCAGGGTGACCAGCAGAGAGAAGGATGGGGATATCACCCTGGCTGAAAAGGAGGCGGAAGAACTCCGTATGGAGTTAAAGAAGGTAAGGGTGGAGAACAGGCGACTAGCGGAGGAGCTGGAATCGACAAAGCGACAAGTCGCTTCGGCGATTCCCATGGCTCCTCCGGCGGCTGCCTCTTCTCCACCGGGCCATAGGAGATCCTATGCGGAGGTGATGGGAGGATCGTCGGCTGCGACGAGCGAGGAAGGAGAGAGAATTAGAGAGGAGAGGAAGAGGAGAACAAAGAAGCTGAAGAAGAAGAGGAGGAGAATAGCCTCTTCCTCCACTCCCACCTCCATTAGGACAGCGGGGAAGGAAGGCGGAGAGTCGGACATCCCATCACTGGACGACAATATGGAGGAGATGAAGGACCCTCCTCCCCCCAAGGAAAGGATGAGAGGAGTGGAGAGGGAGCTGGACGCCGCCATGGAGGTCCAGTTCCCGGACTGCGGCTGCAGGGCGGAGGTTGACCGGCTCAAAGCTATGGTCGACCGCCTTGCGGCTGCCGGTTCAGGAGACGGGGCGGTGGCGGTGGGGATTCCGGCACCTACCGTCCCTGCAGGACCGGGAAACGAGAAGAGTGGGAGACGGGAAGCGGCCTCTCCTAAGGAGGAACGCACAGTCCCTGAGGTGCCTAGAGGAAAAGGTAAGGGGAAAAAGGAGAGAAAGGAGGAGAATAAAAAGAGAAGGAAGGCCAGGGTCAAGCTGATGAAGGAGGAAGAGGAGAAGAGGAGGAGAAGACGGGAAGGAGGTAAGGGCACGGCAGCCAAGGACATTATGGAAGCAGGATGGGACCCGACCCAGAAGACACTGCTGAAGGCGCTTCTGCCCACCCAGGGGCCAAAGGAGACATGGTCCTAGGTGGTTGGGCGGAAAGAGTTGCAGAGGAGGAAGAAGGAGGAAACGAGGACGAATGGCCCGGTCGGCTCTGCGACCCCCGCTCCAACGGCTAGACCTGGAGGGAGGGGGAAACAGCAGCGGGACGGGGCAGGCCCAAACCACCGCGTTCGGCGGCCGTCACGGTGATATGCCCCGAGGGTGAATACCATAGATTCATGGTAGAGGCCAGGCGCCGCATCATCCCGGCGGACCTGGGGCTAGGAACATCCCTGAAGGTCCGCCGGGCCCTGAGCGGGGCCTTGTTGATCGAGGTGCCTGGCTTCAACGTCGGGGCATCCGCCGACCGACTTGCGGAGGAGCTCCGCAAGCTGGCGGCGGAAATGGGCCCCGATTTTCGCATCCAGAGACCGGTGAAGGTCGCAGCACTGCGACTAGCCGGCCTGGATGCGACAATCGGGGCCGATGAGGTGACGGCCGCCGTGGCCCGCGCTGGGGGATGTTCGCCCGGGGAAGTATCCCCGGGCGTGATGAACATCACCCAGCGGGGAACGGGCGCGATTGTGGTGCGGTGTCCGCTGGCGGTGGCCGCGAAGGTCGCCGCCGCGGAACGGGTCCACGTTGGGTGGACTCGGGTCGGGGTGACGGCGCTGCCCGCTCGCGCAGTGTTGTGCTTCCGGTGCTTGCAACCGGGGCACGTGCGCGAGCGGTGCACCAGCGCCGTCGACCGCAGCGACCTATGTTATCGTTGCGGTACCCCCGGCCACCGCGCCAAGGGGTGTCAACGGGCGGTGAACTGCCCCGTCTGCGCGGAGGCGGGCAGGCCCGGTCATAAGATCGGAGGGCCGGCCTGTGCCCCCCCCCCCCAGGAAAGAAGAAAAAGAAGAAGGGAGGAGAGAAGGGACGAGGACCGGGAGGAGCGGGAGGTGCAAAGGCGGCGGGAGCCCGAGACGCCGCCGATGTACCAGCCCAACACACACCGGAGCAGCCAAGGGAGGGGAGCGAGTCCCCTCCCCCAAAGAGGGACCTTGAGGGGAAAACGAGCGCTGGGGAACTGCCGGCTCTCATTCCAGCGGGAACCCAGAAGGAGGAGGACTAACCGCTCATTCAGCTGGATTGGGAGCCGGAAACGATTCCAGGTCTGGAGGGGTGGAAGGAGGAGCCACCAGCTGCAGCCGGGAGAAAAAGGAAGGGGAGAGAGGACCAGGGACTGGACCTTCTGACCGGGGACGCCGAACGAGAGGAGCCGGCAACAGAGGAGGGGCAAAGCTCCAAGGTGAGGAGGGTGGAGTCCACGGGCCCACCCCCAACATCTGTAGAAGAAGGGGAGATGGAGGGAACGTCACCCCCATCTTCCCATTCAGCCGATTCCTCCTCATACTTCCGAGAGGAAGGAGTCGCGAAGGTAGGGACCCCCCGCTACTCCGCGAAGGTTCCTGCAGATGGGGCCACCACGGCCGAAGTCTCCCCCGGGGAATTCGAGACGGCTCTGCCGTCGAAAGATGACCAGGGGGGCTGAATTAGGCAGCCCGGAGGAGGCGTGCAAGGTTTAGTCTTCACGCCACTCCAGGCCCTACAGGCCAACGTCGGCCGCGGCGCCCAGGCTCAGGACCTCTGCATACAGAGGATGACTGAGCTGGGCGCCGGGCTGGCGGTGGTCACGGAGCCGATCTGGATCCCGGTTCGCAGTGCGAACTGGTTCGGCGGTCCGGACAGCTCGGTGGCCCTGGTGGCAAACCCTGCGACAGAGGTCCCACCCTGTGTATTCAGGGAATTGGGGCCCTCGTACGTGGCAGTCGATTGGGGGGCTGGTTACTGTGGTGGGGATATATCTTCCCCACCGCAGGAACAGGGCCGGTCTCGGATGTCCTGCCCCGATTAAGGCGGTCCTGGACAGGGTCGGGGAGTTGGTACGAAGGTGCCATTCCCGACCAGTCATAGTTACCGGGGACTTCAATGCCCACTCGGAAGGGTGGGGTTGCAATTCCCGGCAACGGGACTGCCGGGGGGACACCGTGATCGGCTGGGCGGCGGGACTGGGCCTCATTCTGATGAATGAGGGCTCAGAGAGCCTTCTGGAAAGTTGCTATAACTTCGAACGTGCAACGAGGACGGGGAGGATGCGGGAGGGGGGGGCGAAGGCCCCCTTTGCACCCCCCCGTGTATGTGTAATCATGCTCATATGTCAGTATATCGTCGATATGACAGCTTTCTTAACCGGAAGTGTTATCTGTTTTAACGCTTTACTATAAATATTAAAACAAAAACAATATTACTATAATAATATACTACTATAATAACAATGCTACAATAACAATACATTTTTTTACAATACATTTTTTACAATACATTTTTTTTACAATACATTTTTTACAATGCATTTTTTCATTTATTTTATATCGTTCAGTTTAAATTGGTGCACTTTTTGCGTTTATATGTTGCCACAACGCATGCGTATACGGTCACTAAGCATGCGCACGTAGATAGAGTTAGTTCGTGTCGCTACATTTCATCTAAATGACAGCTTTCCTGAGAGTCTTGGTGCGACTACGGTACGGGTTACACCTGTTTTTGGACGTGTTATATTTTCTTTTGGTGCTATTGGCTTTCTAATTTGGTTTTTCGATTGATTTTTGTTTTGATTTATCGTGAACTCTAATTTGATTTAAGTTTTTCCTTTTCTGGGCTTTCGTACTGACAGCTTTTGTTCGTTTATTAGGTTGATTATTTTGGTGATTACGTAGTGTACACTCAGAGGCAGGTATGGTGTCCCTCGGCGATGTCGTATACGCCTGTAAAACAATCGAAACCGATGACAGGCATATACGCATACTGTGTGTGTGTCTCATTCACTCTACGCTTGAATGCAGGCAATATGAGTGAGACAGCTATAGAAACACCGCGCTTTCTCTACAGGTGTCTCGCTCGCTCTAATAGCCAAGTATCGCGCTTTCCTCTTTTCTTCTTAGCAGAAATGCCGATTAACAGACAGGAGGCAATCCTGTCTGTAGACCAGAAAAATAAGCTATTTTCGCGAATTTTTTTTTTCGGAAACTAAGCAGACGATTGATTTCAAACTTGATAAAAATAATAATATATATTTTATTGATGAAAATGAATTTTTTTTTAAGGCGTTATAAAACAGAAAAGCGCGATACATTTTTTATGTCGTAAGATATGTCAAATTGCGAGCATAAATGCCATTGGCTATTACAGCGAATGAGACACCTATAGAGATAGCGCGGTGCATATAAAAAATTAATATTTTTTTATTTCGCTAGTTCACACGATAGATAGACATGTTTCGAATATGTAATTAGATGCTGAAGTCGATCGATCGACTCTTTTATATAAAAAAAAGTTTTTTCTCTGATTTCAGGAGATGCTATATAGCGTCTCGTTATTATTATTGTAATTTTTATTATTATTAAATGTCTCCTAATTTTTTTTTATATTTTCAAGAGCGGAGCCTATATTTTAAGTAGCATTTTAAGGAAGATGTTGCATTTATTCTCCCTCCTTCTCGTAGTCTTTTCAAAAGTAAAGATATGTTGCGTCTAAAAAGAATTGCACAATTTGACATGTCTTACGGCATAAAATAAGTTTTTTTTTCGTAAATTTCATGAAATATCGTTTTCTTGCAAATAAAATATTCTTAACGTAAAATCATCGATATTTATGACGATTTTTCAAATATAATTTTTAAATGCCTTAAAATATTAAAAAAGTAGTTCGTTTTTTATTTCCTTAATTCAAACGAGTTAGCGGCAAGTTCGTAGATTAATTTTACTTGCGTTTTTGTCCCAGTCTACCGTATTTCGAGATTTTATAGGAACCGTGAAACGGCGCGCGTCTAAACACGTCACGTTATTTTTTGTATATTTGCTACATTATTATTCATATAACGCTATAAAAATTCATTCTCATCAATAAAACATATATTATTATTTTTATCAAGTTTGAAATCAATCGTCTGCTTAGTTTCCGAAAAAAAAAATTCGCGAAAATAGCTTATTTTTGTGGCCTATAGACAGGATTGCCTCCTTGATCGGCATTTCTGCTAAGAAGAAAAGAGGAAAGCGCGATATATGGCTATTAGAGCGAGCGAGACACCTATAGAGACAGCGCGGTGTCTCTATAGCTGTCTCACTCATATTGCCTGCATTCAAGCGTAGAGAGAGTGAGACAGCTATTGGGGACACCATTAACTGTACCACGTCTGGTAATGCTTTCTCTCTCGATCGTGCGACGTGCGATAAGGATGCAACATCGGAACGTCTCCCATCACTTCTCCCTCTTCGCTTCTCTCGCGCTGTACAGTACGCCCATATGCGTATGCGTATATGCCTGTCATAGCTTTCGATTGTTTTACAGGCGTATACGACATCGCCGAGGGACACCATACCTGCCTTTGAGTGTACACGTGATCACTCATATACAAGTGATTTATCTGTCGAGATGGAGATCGATTCTATGGACGTTACTCCTGATGTTAGTTCAGAAGGGAGTTTGTCTGACGCAAATGCGTTGTGCAATAGGAATAGTATGAGAATCAAGTCTGGTAATGTGCCTGAAAAACAAAAGGCTCTTTGTCCAGGCGATATAAAGAAAGAGCTGGACCACGTGATGCGTGGCGAGGACATGCGTGATCAGTGTTTGGATTCGTCGACCTTTCCAATAACAAACAAGCTATATAAACGATTTTTGAAATCTAAGAGTTTCTCAGAGCCCTCTCTGATGCCCTCTGGGAGCATTGAAGGCCGACGGCTTACTCCTGATAAGGACAATTCAGCTAATATCCGTAAGGTCAATGAAGATCCTGCTGCTGCTGCTTCTTCTACTTCTGTGCCTCCTGTCGATAAGGGATGTAATGACTCCGTCATGGGGTCGGAGGTTGGTGGTGTCGGTGCAGGTATTGACATTATACGTGATTTTCCGGTCGTTGCTGGCATGTTAAAAAACCGTTATGATAGGTCTAGTCAAGGTCCGTTTGTTGTTCTTATATAAAAACTTGTCATTGACTG